TAGTCATTTCTGTCAAAAGTCCATGGATATTTCTTCATTGTCTTTGGGATTTATGTGACAAAGATCAAAATGACTTTTTTTGGAGGTATCCTGATTCTCTGACTGGGGGCTCCGCAAAGTAGAAGATGCTTTGTTGAGGCTCTGGGTCCTAACCCAGTGCCTGGAACAGAGCAGGTGTGCAATGGCCCCAGGTGGAATAAACCACTGAAAGGAAGCAATTAAGAGCCAGTTGTCTGTGGAGACTCCCAAGACAGCCAAGTTTCAGCTTCATAATGAAAACCACGGTGTGAAAACATCCAGCTGGCTGGGTGCTGCACAGATGCCCTTGCCCGTGGCCTCCTTAGCAATTCTTTCTTGATGCCAAGCACCAAATGTGAACCTTCCCTCTCTCATGACACCCCCACTCTGTGTACAGCTCTGTACCTGGGCGTTTCCCAGGTGCTTCAAGAGGGTGGAGATGTCCATACCTCACTTCCCAAGGCTTATTTTTGCCCGAGGTCTTTGTCACAACCAGCTCAGGAACATCACTAGGTTTCCGTGGAGTCCCTCCCCACAGAGCCTTTTCTTGTCTATGAGGGGAATTGAGAGCTGTCAAACCCTTCTCTCATACTGGGCTCATTTGCATTAAGTCTTACAAAAATCCCTTGAAATGTCTAACATGTGGGTAGAATCCTCTCTCAGTTTTGAACAATGGCAGAGATTTCCCCCTATCATTATTTTCCTCCGGTTCTTCAATGGAAGATTGGAAGGGAGGAGGATGGCAGGTTCAGTGTGAGGGTTTGAATGCCTGTCAGAGAATGGAAGTCTATCCTGACACGTGCACAGTCTCTGAAACAAAAACCTTTCTAACTTAGGGACATACGGGGTGTACACCAACCTCCTCCAGCACTAACCCTTGGTGAGGATGTAAGAACAGCTTCTCATAAGATCCTGCCCCTTTTTCATCTCCCGTTCTCTCTCTTGACCTCCTTTTTTTTCCTACCTCCCCTTTCCCCTCACCTCATTTCCCCCATCTCTCTCTCTTCTCTGAGTTTAGGAAAAAATTCCTTGAGATTTTCACTAAGAAGTAATTTATTAAGCCCCATTTACAACCCCGTAGACTTCTTTGATTTTTTTTCCTTGATTCTCCCCCCTCCCCAACCCTTCGGTTACTGCCTTGGTTAATAAGAATCGTTATCCCTTCACCTGGCCCTCTCCATGTTGTCATTTTCTAGCATCTGATCTGATTTCTCCGCAGAGACTGCACCCAGCCCCCTAGCAAGCTGCCATTTTTTTCTCCTCTCCTTTCCTTGATCCTTTACATGTTCCTTTCTGATTTCTCTTTCACTTCTGTGGAGCATAACTATTCTATTGCTATCAACTTCCTGAGTTTTACTTGCCCAAGGACATCTGGGCACTCAATTTAGGAATTTCCCAAAGCAACTCCTAAGAATTCTGGTGACAATTTTTCCATTATTCAGAAGGGTTTTCAGTGTGGTGGAGGTCGCTAGGGGACAACACCAAAGACAGTGAGAACAGAATTTAACATGTGACCTTTTTTCCCCCAAGTGTGCTCAATGCAATGGCTGGGCTGAATCTTCTAGGTAGCTCTACTGCATCCTGGTGAGTGGGAAGTTCATGGGCTATGGAAGAGGATAATATCTTTCACTGGTACAGCCACCTGGTGACCTGGGGTCCCAGAGACCCTGACTTAGCATCTTGACAAAAACATGAAGTTGCTTGGGCTACCACAAAACACCAGCCTCCAAGGTTCAATACTGAGCTCTGGAGCCGTTCTGTGATACCGACCACACCAGTGTGCGTTCTCCAGTAGACCCGAGAGCCGAGGATGAAGCTTTGAAGCAGAGCATTAGGGCAGTCTTTGAAAAACACTGGCAATGAAATCACCCAGGAAGCTGAGGAAACACAAACATCTCTATTGCTTCTCACCTGGCCCATTTGGTTGGTGATGAAAACTGTAAAAATGAGCTCAGTATAAGGTTTCCTGCTCTTTTCCTTGGCTAAAGATAAGGAATACACTACAGTAATAGCTGAGGCCTCCAAAGGGGCCGATACTTGGACAATACCTCACTTTGGATTAGATTTCTTTTCCTAAATCCCTTATATTAAAATCTCACTCTGTCTAAACCCAGTTCTGCAGGGTCATATATCAAGCTCTTTCTCTCTCTCTTTCTCTCTCTCTCCCTCACTCTCCTACACAGATGACCCCCCTACTGTGCTAAGTGTTTTCTTTATTAAAATTTATTTTATGGGAAAAACCACAAAACTTCATAACAAAATAATAGGAGACTATCAATACTTAATACATGGAGTGTTGTTACCTTTAAAGTAGTAACCGTGGTATTGTCTCTTTGGTGTGAGAAATTGAAGGGTAAATAAAATCCAGTGTTCAGTAGGTATGTGAAGCACTTTCCTTCTGGCTCAGAGGAAGGTTCTGTGCCACCAGAAGCTGGCTCCAGCGCAGGCTCTGCGGCTCCTGCACAGGAACTGAAATTCCTTCAGGGCTGTGGCCCATGGCTGCGCTTCCTCCAAAGCACTCGGGCTGTTTACTGACTGGTATCTCCTTACTGCTCAGCTGTGGGCCCCACTGGCCTGAGCCACTCAGTGAAGGCTCTGGGGCTGGTGGCTCCACAATCCTTGCACAAGTGAATTAGGAAGGAGGGGAGGAAACGGGGCCCCTGGACACACACCCTCTGTAATAAGTAGGGAAAAGAAAGGAAGGACAAAACTCACAAGATTTTTGGCCTCTACCTAAAAAGTACCACAGTCCTCCTGTTTACGCGGGGAGGGAAGGCTGTGATCTTCTGTTAGGAAGGGATCACCTGAGCTCCAGGGCGGTTGAAGCCTGTGTGTGCTTAGGTGATAGCACCTCATTTCCACAGAGAGGGCACAGAGGCAGGACCCTCAGTGGCCATGGGAGACAAGCACTGTCTCTGGAGGAGAGGGGCACACCTGCGATTCCACATGGCATCAAGGGGCTGTCCTGAAGTTTCACTCAGCTCAGAGAGAAACATACTTTGTGCTGCTAAATACAAACATGGCACATGACTCTCTAGGAAAACTGACTTCTTTGCTCTAAATTGGTTTTTGTACTTTTAAATCTCATTCCTCTCACCCCCAAGGATGAGATATGAGTTCATAGCTCTTGACTGTGAAATTCTCCCCTGTGCACACATATGCATATGCCTGAGAAAAGAAACACACATGAAAATGATCAGGGTATGGCAGGAAAGCATGTCCACTGAGGGAGGCTTAATAGCTGTCCTTGCTGATATCAAATGCTGTACTAAGCATATAAATAAATTCTTACATTTAATCCTTGTAACACCCCAATGAGTTTTGACTTAAAATGTAGAAAGTGAGGTGACATAAAGAAGCCAACATGAGTCTTCAAAACACCTTGTTTGCTCTCAAAATCAGCATCTGTTACTGAGTAACTGCAGGTAAGTTAATAAGTTCTTTCTATACTAATTGCCATGTAAAAGGAGGATTAGGTCCAACTTGTAAGGGTGTTGTGGGGATTAAATGATTTAGGGGACTGAGCTTCTATGAATAAATGTTCAATATTTGCTTCCAACCAGCTTACCAAAAATGGATTACTTTTTAAAACTAATTATGTTTATTGGTAAATTTTAGGTATGCATAATGATTAGATTCATCATGGGGAATTTGTATCTGTACATGACGAATCTTGATTCTTTATTTTTTTTTACCATTCCCCTATCTACCCTTTAACCCCCTTCTCTCCTTATTTACAAAAGTTTGTTTCTATTTTTTCCTCCTCTTCTCATTTTCGCCTTGTTATCCTTCTGAGTTGAACATTTTTCTTCCTGTTCCACAATATCTGTTATACATTTTGGTCCTTATTTACGCTTTTGATTTCTCACATCAGAGAAACAATACTGTATGTACACATGTATGTTTGATTTACTTTGTTTAAGAGTAGGGTCTCAAGGTGCATCCATTTAGCTAGAAATGTCTCAAGTTTATCCCTCTTTATGGCTCAGTAGTGCTTCTGATCTTTAAATTTAAAAATAAATAAAACTCCATTAGATAATCATGAATTGGAAGGTTATAAAACCACAGATAATGACCACTCTAGAAAATCTCAGGGAGAAACTGATGATTTTCAAGTGCTAGAATACACTTTGCTTCAGGAACTTTTTAGTTTGCAAGATGGTAAATGTTCAGTTGTTTAGAAAGATGCTTCCAGTCCTGGGGACAAGGTCACCAGCTTGATTCTGCTGTCACTTCCCCGCCCCTAACTGTGTGTGGGCAGAGATAGAGAAGCAGAAACCAGGGCCCCTGACTCTACAGCGGGCAAACACCCAGAAGTTACAGTGAGCTTGACACACCTCTCTAGGAGGAACTCAGGTGACAGTTCCATTTCCATCCCTGAGAGCAGCAGACAGGTGGGAGCTCTCCTAATTCCCTACCTCCTGTAGTCTAGGGAGGAAACACAGAAGCCACCAGAAGAGGGTGAGACCAAGCTGAAGGATGTGGACTCCAGTGGGCCAAGAAAAAGACTGGCTCCAGAATTTACCATGAAACACAGCTAACACAGATCGTTAAGGGCGGAAGAACAAAAGAATCCTCTGAGAAACTTTTGAAGGAAGTGCTTTTTCAATGCAAATTCCTTTCAGAATCTAGGTGTCGCTGCTCCTATGAAATGAACTGGCAAAAGACAAGCCTGAGACTCTGAGTCTCAGTCAAGGAAAAAGCAAGAGATTCCACATTCCAACAACCCCATCTCTAACGACAGCAGGTCCATCTGGGAGCCACTAGGCAGCGGAGAAGAGTCAATCCATGAGCTCCTCGGTCACTAACTCACTGTCCCCTATGAATGGTCCGAAGGGACCTACAGGTCGTCCATTCTCCACCCAGAATGTTTCCTTTAGTTCCTTCCACCTCCCAATTCCAGCTTTTGGGGCTCAAAGCCACAAATCCTGAGAGGACCACTGCCACATACCACACACCACGCACCATGCACACTTGACTGCATGCTATCAGGTTCTTGGCCTCTGATCCCTGCTGCGGTGGTGCATAACCGGGTTCACCTAGACGGGGACCCAACTGCACTATCAGCACCAAGTCAGAAGGACGAAGTCCCTCTGATCCTCATAAGGTGCCAAAATAGGGTGGCTCTGAATTGATGAGAATGGGGGTGCAGGTGGAAAATCTAGTTTAAAAAATTCTGCTTTCGATTATGGGGAGAGCTTTCGCTGAGTCGTCTTGGCAGGAGGCCAGCAAAGCTCACAGATCCCATTCCTGACCGCGTGTCCAGTCCCCAGCCTGGGAGAGGGCCCAGGAGCGATTCTCCGCGCCGTGGACAGGAGCCTGGACGGCTCCACTCCGCCGCCTACAGCCTGGAAGCTGCCACTGCACCCCGGGAGGGTCGGGCTGCGAGGCGGACGGAGATCCGTCCCGCGGGGAACCTCCGGCGCGAGGCGCTGGCAGCGGGGCGTGGTGTCTGAAGTAGGGTGCTTCCTGCCTTTAGCCCGGCCAGGGCGACTGGCTCGCGCGGCCGGGCTCAGGGACTCCCAGGTGGCCCCGCCCCGCCGCCCGCGCCCAGCTGGGTGCGTGCAGAGTCCCCGCCCCCCGTCCCCAATCCCCACCCCGCGTGCCCTTAGGGGGGCACTCCCTCTGGGGCGGGAAGGTGGTCGGCGCGCCCCGGTTCCCGAGTGGCGGGGAGGTGACAGTGCCTCCTTCCCATTTCCGCCGGCTGGCAGCGCTGCAGGGCGAGAGCAGGCGAGAAGCACTCGGTCCTCCCTCCGCCCGCCCGCCCGCCCGCCCGCGTCGGGGGCCGGCCCTGCTCGCCAGCGCCTTTTTCCCCCGCTCCGCGGCGCCGCTTCGCCACTCGGGCACCGCAAGGAGGGCAGGAGGCTGGAGCGCCCGCCGCCCGCCCGGCCGCCCGCCCGCCCGCCCGCGCGGAAGATGGTCACCTCGGCCGGACAGCTCGCCTGGCTCGCGCTGGGTATGTACGCTACCTGCTGCACGCTGCCCTCCGCGACACCCCGCTTCCCCGGGTTCCCTCCTTTCCGGGCGGCTTCGAGCCCGCCCAGAGTGGAAGGAGGCTAATGCTTTTCGTGGGCAACGCGGGATCGCTGAGGATGACAAAGAGGGGGGCTGCGCAGCCCCGGGCTTTCCCGGGAAGGGGCCGCCCGGCTGGGCGGCGCGTGAGAACGCCGAGCCGGGAAGCAGTGTGTGAACGGGCTTGAACTTTAATCCGCCGCGGCGGTGTCTGCGGCGCACACGCCCGCGCCTACCGATCACCTGGCTGCCGCGGAGGCGCGGTGTCCGCCGGCGCCGGCGGGGGGCGCACGTGGAGCCGCCTCGGAGCGCGCGGCGACGGGCTCAGACCCCTGGCCACCCTCGCCTGCGTTCCCTCCGCCCTGAGCCCCAGACTAATCGAAGTTCAGGCGCCCTCGATCTTTTAACTTTAGGAGCTCGTGAGCTTTGGGGTAGGCTTTGGATTTTTGCGTGGATTAATTGTTGTTTTAATTAACTTCCCTTTGAGAAGTGGTTTCAGTCTCAGCCGAGAGCTGGAATGAAATCCTAGGCAGAGCGTTGGAGTTTCCTTTGAGTTTGCTCTTGGAAAAATGATCAGGGGCTGGGGGAGGGGGAGGTAAACCCCTGCAATGCCAGGGTCAGGGCCGGGTAGCGGGTAAAGTTGACAGAGCCATCTGTGAGAGGGCAGGGGCGCAGTGCCACGCGCCGCCTCGCCGGCTCTGGCCCCTAGTGGTACCGGCTGTCTCTGGAGACAGATGATTAACAACCAGCCCATGTGTACCCGGGTACTGGTACTGCTGCAGCCTTCAGTGGAGCGAATCATGCCGTCCATTGCCGCTCAGTTTAACACTGTAGAGCAAAGTTGCTCGATGCAGGGTCCTTAGAGTTTCAAGAAGGCTAGAATTCCTTCCCACAACCCAGAACTGGAGCCTCACCAAGTTCCATGTACAGCTGCACCTGGTTCAAGGACCCACCTGCAATCAGGCCCTTGCCACCCCGATTAAGAACCTCGGTAGGAGAGAGGGCATCTTTTAGGGGAAATGTGGGCAGTGGTGGATGGAGATGCTCCTAGCTGCACCCTCGCTTGAAACTCACCAACAGGTGACATGATTATGGGCATTTTTTTCTCTTCCTATTAAGAACCGCGGGTATGTGTGTGTCTGTGTGTCTATGTGTGTTTGTGTGTATCAACCGTTGTTGTTACACACATTACAGATTACACATATTACAGATACGGTGAAAGACTCCTGGATACCATTTCCTGACCTAATTTTTCCAAACAGTAGTTATAGAAATAATAGCAATAGTTAACACTGTGTGAACATTCCCTCAGACGAGTTCTACTTTATTAACTTAATACATCCACCTTTGAAAAAGGTAGCGTTATCCTTTGCATTTTATAGAAGAGATAGTAAAGCACGCGGGACCACCGTAGAAAGGTAGACCAGGATTATCAAAGTGTATGGAAGAAGAGTGGGTAACCTGTGGTTGGTATAGTCCCGTCTGAAGTATAGAACTTTAAGGAGATATTATGTAGACTACCATGGAACTTGCTGTTAAGTTGGGTTTCCATTGAACCCCTACATTTCAAGATGTTTTATGGTGCAAATTAGAGGTAAAAAAAATAATGTAGGCAAGAAAATTTGAAGAAGTCTTTGAAAGTTGTGTTCCAAACCTTCCGTCATGGTTTGCTCACCCATGAAGACTGAATTCATTCATCATGAAATTTTTCTTTTTTGCCTGAGTGTACCCTTCAGTTTGATCTTTATTTCTTTTCTTAAGAAAAAGATGTATAACCATAAAAGACTGATCAGTATGTAAAAGCTAGCACATACAGTCCCAAAACATGCACAGTTGAAAAGTTTTAAAGGCAGGAATAATTCACACCAGTAAGGACTCCTTTTTATTTATATTTTTTTAAAAGCAAAATCTGTTAGTTCTGTGCATTTACTAGAACTTCTGCCTCCCACATACATCTTTAATTTGCCGTGTTTCCTCCAAAGCTGCTCTCCTCTCTAATTTTTCTTAAATTGGTTGAAAGCAGTTCCAGGCAAATCAGCCAGTGTTCCGTCACTAAGATCTAGGAAACCTTCCTGGGGACAGTCTGAGAAGGATTGAGTTGCTGCTTAATTACTTGGAACCTGAGGGCTGATTAATGCTCTGAGTGACGGAGTGTGGAGATTGTCACCCAAATGGCAGTACTGGAAACAACCCAGACTTCTGTGGTGGCTGCTACCATCCCATGTCTGGTTTGCATCACTAGTGGGCAGATCTCACAGGGGCTCCCTCTGTGTCCAGGGAACAAGAAGTGCAGTCTTGGGCCAATTACTTAGCTTTTTGGTGCCTTAGGGGTTTTTTATCTGTTAAATGTGGGTATTAAGGATATTGAATGTATGTAGTATACATAGAACAATACCTAGAATATAGTAAAGGGTTAATGTTAATGCTATCATCATATTGTTGTTACTTGGAGCCCTATAGAATTCCAGACCGGTTGCTGGTTAGGTGAATTCAGAGACTAGGAGAATTTGTCCACTTTAATTTTTGTTTTTAACACTTTCTTGCCCCTCACTCTTCCTAAGCCAGAAAAAAATACCTCTCAACTGAAAAACCTACCTAGGTCATTTTGGGCATCATTTGGCAAATGACAAACTCAGTTGAGTTTCGGAATTCTTTTGAATATGGATATCATGAGTTCTTTAATCTTTATGCAAAGCATTTATGTTTCTCCTTTAAGACTCAGTGATCAGTTGTCTGTTGAGATTAGCACTAAGTTCCAGGTTTTTTATCGGTGAGTGGGAATAATAAAACTGTACCTGATGCACAGAATTTATAAAATCAAATGAGTTGGTAAACATGAAAGTTATGTATAAACTGTAAAAATACCAGCTACCTACAAAAATGAAATTTATGATACAGGAGGGATTTTATATGAAACATTATTCTTGTAGCAGTTCCCACAAAGAAAGCCTGGATGTAAACCTTCATTGAAAGGGGTCGTGGGATGTAAGGGATATATAGAACAGGTCACTTTCCTTTGGAGACTGAGGGACATGTCGTTTCTCCATTCCTTAGAAATATAATCTTTCAGAGTAGACAGTGGAGGTTTGCCTTAGACACATGTTTTCTGTACTGAGCAGTCATAATTAGGGAGTATGTACCCAGAAGTGGGCTGTAGAGGTGTACTATATGGAAGCCTCCAAGGCTGAGTTTCCCCTATTTGCTTTTCCAAAAGTTTGTACACTTGATCTTTCTGTAAATAGTGTCCCTTGCAAAGGGGACTTTTGTTTTTCCATAGGAGTAAATGATGCTTTGCGTTACCATGGCAACACACAAAAATGATTTTTCATTGGATCCATTTCCAAGGACCTTTTCGAAGTCTCTTTTGAACAAGGTCCTAGTCTGTGCGCCCACTTAAGAGGGCAGGCATTGGGTTAAACAGTACTAGCTTGCATACACTTATTTAGGCATCTTGTGCTTGGTCACATGCTGAAAACTTCTGTAGTATCTTCCACAGCAGTGTCCATAAGTCAGAATCACTTGGAGACTGGTGCCCACCCAGAATTTCTGCTGCAGTACCTGGGAGACTTTGCTCACCTAGCAAGTTCCCTGGGATGCACATGGGCTGATAGGGAAGAGGCAGGAAGGACGCTTCAGGAGCCATTGCTCCTCAGCTGGCTGCTATGGGGGAACCTTTTGGCTTACCCAACTGCTAGTATCTAAAGTACATTCCGACATTATAAACTCTGCTGTGGATTTATGAGCCATTGTTAAAGACAACTTGGAAGGCCTGTTTTGCTGATCAGGGCACAATTGGAACTCTTACTGAGATCTCTTAATTGTTCTAAGTGTTCTTTGTAATTTACCCATGGAATATGCACTGGTCCTGTGTTATTAAACTTAGCAGCATTAATCATGTCACTCTTCCTTTTGTGTGCTAAAAATTGACCATTAGTTTGCTGCCATTTCAAATATTTTTGGTAACTAAATTTTATAGTATGAACTTAAGGACTAATATATTTAGAATTGCTTCAAATAGAGGAGAATTGGGAACCTTTCATAGTGGCTTTTGGTTTTGGCTAGCCTTTCATGTCTTATATTGAATGGCAAGTACAGAAATCTTTCATAGAATCATGAAAGCCAGAAATCTGGACTGCTAGCACCATCCTTAGTAGTTTCTCAAGAACAAGGCATTTTCCCTTTAGACCAGCTCTAAAAATCTGGGTCAATTCTTTTGAAGCATTATGGATTTTTTGTATTAATTATGATCTAAATAGTTGTTACCTGAGCTCAACAAGAAAAGTTGGAGGTTTATCAACATCGAATTTTGTGTCTTTTGCTAATGGTTTGTTTTAAGTTAAAGGAATCAGAATTTTTTTTTTTTACATGAAGCCTTTCCTCTGTGATCAGGCACATTCTATGTTCTTTTACATTTAATTTTTTGTTGTCCTGTTACTTCAAAGGACTTTCTGTTTTCTTTACCTGAATGTTTGCGCTCTTTAAGTAGTTATGGATCGTTCAGGTTTCCTTAAGAAGGGTTTGGACACACAACTCCTTTGTGTGCAACCAGCCTGCTATTGCTAGATTTTTTTTTTTTTTTTTTTTGTAATCTTTGACTGTGTTCACATTTCTGCCTAGGACACTTGGGAGCAGGGCCCTGGATCCTGCATGTTTTGCCTTGGAGAATATTGATTGGCACTTCCCCTCTTCTTCATGAGTCCGAGGGCTCAAAGGAGGAAGCTCAGTCTTTGTCTGTGCCTTGGGCACCTCTAAGCATGACCTCATGGACTGTCTGGTGCAGGAGACTCCAAGTACAGGCTCCATGCACAAACACTGGGCTCTGTTGTTACCTTAATCCCAAACAACTCTTTATTATGAAAATCATGGGTGGTTGCATACAAATTCTTGCGTCATCAATACGACCAGTCTTCAGAATGCTGTTTCTAAAATATACTTATCTTTATA